TTCTCTCTTCCTTCCCCTCTCTCTAAAAATAATAAAATATTAAAAAAATAAATAGTATAATTTTTAAAATGGTAAACTTTAAAGCACATTATATTATTTTGTTGAAAGTCATTGGAGAACTTAAAAATTAATCTAATTGTGTCTGAATTAGGAAGAATTTGTAAAATCTATTAAGATGAAGGGAATTACATTACTTTTAGGATAGGCTCAGTCTTGGGGTAAGAGCTGGTGTTGAATTATATGAGTACTTCAATATTAATAAAGTACTTTGGCATCTTGGATGCAATCCTGAAACTATGTAAAATATTGGACTCTTTACCCTGGACTCTTTACCTCTAGTTCTACCTTTCACAATGAACTGGAGATAAACATAGGAGGAGAAGTAACTCCTGTCTATTTTATAGGTCTCAGATCTAGAGAAATTCATATAACCAACACAGTACATCAGCCCAGAAAGTCCCATTTTTGAAATGATTTCCCATAGTTCATATTCACTGGACATGATATAGCAAAATCATCAGAGCTCCATGCCTCTCCACCTCTGTTTCTCTTCACCTCAACTTCCTTGTCCTAGACCGATATGCTATTCTAGGATATGCTCCTAGGCTATGCTATTTATACGGAAAGCCTACATTGTTCTGGTATTCCTTTCCTTATTCCCCTGGCCTAACTGCTTTCTATGCTTTCATCCCCTGTCAGCTGTGGAACAAGAAGACTATTATTAGCATTCAAATATTATCATGGAATGGAGGAAGGGTCTTGTTCCAATGAGTGGACTGTAGAATCTGTGAAGAGTGAATTCTAGGATGTTCCCCAATATGATAAAGATAATTGTTACCCATTACATTTAGTTGCATTACTTAGGCAAGGGAGGTTGGCACGTCCTTTGTAAAACAACCTTAGATTAAAATATGCAAGTGTTGGGTGTGTAGATAAGAATGGGGACAGGACACAGAGTAAAGGCCACAGATAGGGTCATGATACGTTTTAATTTTCTATCCTAATGAAAAATGTAATTTTTGTACTGTTGTTGAACAAGTACACTATTGGCTTGGGTTTCCTACTTCACACAGTTGATTGTTATTTCACCACTTAATAATAACATCGTGTACTTTTGCCAGATATAAAAATACACCATTTTCTATTTTCCCCCACACTTATGGCTGTTTACATAGCTTACACAGTCATATTTAGTAGCAAACACAGGTTTACCTGGTAGAGGCTCCCATTGTCAGATATAAATAAGTTAAATTTCATAGGCATTGTAAATAAGTTTAAAAATCAAAAACTTTACAGAAAATCTAAACAAAACTTTTTTATTTCTTAGCATTTTGTTAGTGGTGGTGTTATATTCCCTTTGCTAGTAGAAGTGGTAACTAATGAGTAACAATCTACTTACATGTGAATGAGTTACTTGCATCCTCTTTTTTATTATTCTTTTTCTTGCTGATTTTCTTGGCATCTCTGGATGCTTTCCAATTTATTAGAAATTGTCTTTCCATGTTTTTAATTTCTTTTCCATCAAGAAATTCTAGATAAAAATATGTGTGTTAAAATATAATATATACTGTCAATGTATACTTCTGGTTTAGGGCACACAAACTTGTTACAAAATATGATGAAATAAATTTCTTTTTAAAATACTTATTTATACAACTTCTGTATTTTTGTTTAAATTTTATTTTTAATTATTTTTTCTGAGTTCAAAAAGAATATGTGCCGATTATTATTATTATTATTATTTTTTTATTCTCACCCACCAACATGCTCATTGATTTTAGAGGGAGCAAAAGTCTGGGAGGGAGAGATGGAGAGAAACATTGGTGTCAAAGGAAAATCAACCAGTTGCCTCTCGTTGGTGCCCTTACTGGGGACCCAAACTGCAACATAGGCATGTGCCCTGGCGGGGAATTGAACCTGTAACCTTTGTTTATGGCATGAAGCTCCAAACAACTGAGCCACACCAGTCAGGGCAGAATATGTGCTTATTATAAACTGAAACATGATGGAAAAAACATAAACATTACTGTAATTACTGTCCATACCCTCTCCTTCCCACCACTGACAAAGATAATCATTGTAAACAAAATTTGGTGTATGGTCACTTTTCCACAGTCATGTGCCAATTATATTGTTATTTAAAAAACAAAAATATCATATATAACAAAAACTAATGTTATTTATTCAAATAATAATTAATATTTACTTAAATAACATTAAATAATATGGTTATTCTTAGGAAAAAGCAAAATATATCTTAAAGTAAATAAGAAGTTTTATATATGTAACATAGTGTTTTAAAAGCACATACACTAATAATACTTATTATATCCTAGGACATAGGCTATAACAGGAACAACCTACATAATTGGTCTCGACTCTATGAAGTGAGATTTCAACTATCTTTACATTTTGTTTCTTTTTAAAAAGTTTTGAAAATTGAGCATCTTAAATTACACAAATAACTTTTATATGTTGTAAGATACTTGGAGAATACAAAGAAATGGAAAAACAAAAATTAACATTGCCCATATTCCACAACCAAAAATAATCGCTAAAAAATCACTGATAACACTTTAGTATATTTCTAAGCAATTTTTTTGTTTTCTATGTATGTATGTATGTATATTATACAAAATTTTAATTCTCTATATAGCATTAGAGGCTGCATTTTAATATTGTATTGTGAGCATTTTACTATGTTTTTGTTTAAACACAATGTTTTTTTGTTTTGTTTTGATATGATTTTAGAGAGAGGGGAAGTGATGGAGAAAGAGAGGAAGAGAAACATTGTTATGAGAGAGAAACATCACTTGGCTGCCTTTCACATGGGTCCTGACCAGGGACTGAACTTGTAACCCAGGCATGTGCCCTGACCGAGAATCAAACTGGCAATCTGTTGGTTTGTGTTTTGATGCCCAACCAACTGAACCACACCAGACAGGGCTAAAGACAAATTTTAATAATTTTATAGTATTCTATTATATATGGGTATACTATAAAACTACAGAATATTTTATATGACTTTTTAAAGTTTATAGTATTCTATAAACTATAGAATATTTTATATGACTTTTTTAATCACATGAATACAGGTGGCCTTCATCAGTGTGAAGACTATCTTTACTAGCAAAATGTGCTTATCTAGCAGTTTTTAAAATTAAACATATTTTCTCTAATCATTCATATAATGTCTTCTCCTATATTTTAGAATATAGAAAGGATGTAGTAAAATTTTGGGGGGGTTATTCTCACAGGGGAAAAAGACAATATCCTGATAAATTATACAACTAAAAGTATTAACATTGCCACTTAAATATGATTCATAATATTGTTGTATCCAAAATCAAGTGATGAAACTGGAAATATAAACTAGAACCATAACCTCTAGAACCATAACTTTTTCCATAACTTCTGTCATGTGTTTATTTGAACTGAGTAACAGTACTTTCTAAATTATAATGTAAGAAATTGGCTAAATGTTTTATCATCATACATCTTAGTATTTATAACTTTACATTAAAGGTCATTCTTTTCTGCTCAGTTTCCCCAACTATTTGCACTTGTTGATGTCTTTCCAGGTTTTTAAATTAATAATCATATAATTTAGTAGTATATTTTTGGATGTAATATGTATAAATCAATACAAATTTTTAAAATACTTAAAGATAAGGAATGAAAAATCCAAGTCTTCGAACATAATCCCATTTCTTTATGTTAATGTTTCAGACAAAACTGAGGAATGATTAGGAGACTGTGCCCTAGTAAAACTCAGTAAATCTGAGTAAATCTCAGTTTTAACAAATGGCCTTATTTGAGGTTATTAGGTATAGAGGTGGTTCAGGAATGGAAGCCAGGTAATGGACACAAGATCAGGGAACCATGAGCTCTGTTTTATAAGTTCCTTCCACTTGCACTAAGTAAACCAATTGTGTGGATTGTCATTCTATTTGGTAAGGACTGGGTTACAAAACAGAAAATGGCTCCCTATAGTTCTTTTTACTGGGACATATCAAACCAAGCCTTCAATTAATTGTGTGTGTGTGTGGCGTGTTTTTTGATTTTGCATTAAGGAAAAAAATGAAATTAAAATAAGGCAAGCTAAAGTCAAAGAGAATTTGTTAAATATGTATATATGTATAGAAAAAAGACTGTAAGGTCATATACTAAAGTGTTAACAGCAGATTTATTGCAGGACTAGGAATGACATTTGTTTTCTTTTCTATATTTTCTGCATTTTCTAGGAGAAATATATATTAATTTTATAATCATTTTTTTTAACTTTGAACAAGTCATCTTTACTTGGAAATCAGTACACTTATCTCCATGTGTTTTACAGCATCACCTTTGGTACTGTGTCATGAGAAATGTTCCAGGCATAGTTCATGAATATCAGAAGATTCTTAATTATCAAACATTAATTGCATTTACCTTACTCTGCTTCATAAGGAAAGTTGACTAATACACCTGTGTGTGGTGGGCAGAGAGGAGAGGAGATGGACAGTTTGGGGGTGGTGCATAGCAGAATAAAAAATCTGTAGAGTTTTAAAAAGCACGCATGACTGTTCTGTTTCCTACCCTTGGCTGATGGGGTGAAGGGTGGGCAGGATATGACCCTTACATATGTATTGTGAAAAATCGTCATGGATTTTTCTGACATGCCCTCTGTCGATGTCTTTCTCCTCCAAGAGAACCACCACACTAGCATTATGATTAATCAAGGTTTTCTACTTGTTCAAAGCTATGAGCTTTGAAATAGTTTTGCCATACATTAGTTTTTATAACCATGTCACAGAAGTTCTGATAGAGGAAACCAGCTCATGAATATCCTTTGTGAGAGGGCAGTGTTTGTTTCTCTGATGCTGTATGACTTGCTCCATATACTGGGCCATTCCCCCCGCATAGTGCATATTCAGGAATGTTATTATTTGTAAGAGTCTCATGAGGGACTGCCTGCCCAGCCCTACTTTCAAATGAAAGAGACTCTTGTATGTTTTTAGGCCAATTGTGAGCAGTGAAAACCTTGATCAACTTTATCTACAGAACCAAGAGATAAAGAGTCTCAAGATCTGTAGAGGATTTGTGTCCCTGGAAGTTTGACAAAAGGTGAGCAAGTTCTATACATTTATGACTAATCATTTTTTGCTAACAGCCACATTTTCTTTTTTAAAGAAAGAATGTCTGGTGCTTCGATTAATTATTTGTGGACAGCAGATATTTTTGTGCTTTATTTCTCAATTTTAACTTTTGCTGTTATTAAAAAATGTCAAATTTAAAGTTCACTAATTTTGTAGATCTGTATGTCATATTTCTGAAGGCATGCTGATAAATTAACTAAAAAGTGAACCAGGTCTCTGTTTCTAAGAAAATGATATTAATATAATATAAATATGTACCGAGTGATTTGGAGACCAGTATCAATCTGTCTCTGTATTTTGGTTGGAGACAAACAGGATTTCCATTTAAATCCATTTTCCACAGCTTCATCAACTTGGTCAGTAAAAATTCCAAATCCTATAATTATAGAAGAAAAAGACACAAATATATCATGATTTTCAGTATTTTTTTCATTCAGTTAACTGTTTATGAAGGTAATTACTGCTTTTTGTGGCATTCTGGCTCAGCGCCAGATACTTAGAAGGTGTGTTATAAATCCTTTTTGGATAAAATAATCTATATAATCATAGAGGGGGCTAAAGAGAAGGCAAAAAGTGGGCTTGAGTCAGGGGCCATGGAACTGTTCTTTGTCACAGTCCCTTAAATGGACCCAACCTGAAAAATACTTTTGTCCGTCTGGCCATTCGTCTTACCGAAGATGCCCTATTCTTAGTGGAGTTTATGGAAGTTTCTAGATTAAGGCAATTAAGGAGTGGTAAGTTGTATATTGGTGTTGCAAAGGAATACACATACACACACATGCACATGTTTTATTTTATAAAGAATGCATATTCATTTTGAAAATCTGTAAAAATATTAAAAGGAAAATAGGAAAAAAATCACTTGCATGCTTATCACCCAAATGTCACTTTCAATTTGTAGTCATATATCCTTCTAGTCTACTTTTTTTGAACATAAGGGCTTTTTAAACTTGTCATGTGGGTTTTAAAAACCCACATGACAATTAAATGACAAGTTGTAATTTTGTTTTACATATATTATAAACATTTGGGCATTTTTATAGCTTGCAAGAAAACTAGCTAATTTATATTTCAAGGAATGTTATTCCATGGTCTACAATACAAATGAATGTGAGAAAAACAAATTAATGGCATTTAGGAACCAGCTCACTTAGTTTCCCCTTACTTCTTCTTTCTCTCTATTTAGGCTTCTTTTTCCATTGTCACTATTCTTTTCTTCAATGCCTTGGCTTTTTAATTTTTGTCATTCCTTTCCTTGCTTTCTCCCCTTCTTCATTTTTAAATATGTATGTTTTATTTTAGCTATTTAATGGAAATGAAATATACTAGGATATTTCTCATATGTATCCCAAATTTATGTTTTTAATTTTTAAAATCAGGTAAGTTTAATCTGTAATGAATTACTCAAATCAAGCAATGCAAAAACTGTTTTTCTACTCTGTAGCCTTCAATTGATTTTATAAAATTCAATGGCCATAAGCAAAAAATAAAGGAAAGGAAAATTACCTTCACTAGGGCAAAAACATTACTTTAAAACAAATATTTTGCTGCTAATAAAAATAAATGTTGATGATTAATTCTGTGAAGAGCTTTCTGGTTTTCAGAGCACTGCAGATATGTGATCTTGTACGTATCTGGGGGCTGCTCCTTAGAATGTGGTGGTAAGCATTGCAAAGTTAATAAAAAGTGAAGAGGGTAGCAGCACTCAAGCACCTATGAATTTTCTATTTGTTTTCTTCAAGCCAAGACCGAAATTACCATCGGGGTTAAGGGAAAATTAGGAAACACAAATTACAGATTAATTCAAACATGTTTTTAATTGCAAAGCTTAAAGTAATTGAGAATACATTGCCCGATAATTCTACTCCCTATATTATTTTCTCACCTCCAAACTTGATACCTCTTATCCTAGTAGACCTATTTAACCTATTTGTACCTTCTATCTTATTTTTTGTTTGAACCATGTTTATTGTTGCTTAGATACTTTATTGTTTCATTTTTGGAAAAGCTTCTTATAAGACTTCATTTATTCTTTAGATTTTAGAAAACTTTTTTTTTGTTCTATGAAGAGTTGACATCTGTTCCCTTCTACATATTAAAAATTTCCATGCCCTAGCTGGTGTGGCTCAATTGGTTGAAGCATCATTTTGTAAACAGGAAGCTAATGGGTTCGATTCCCAGTCAGGGCACCTGCCTAGGTTGTGGGTTTGTCCCAGGGTTGCATATCGGAGGCAGCCAATAGACGTTTCTCTCTCACATCAATGTTTTCCTCCCTCTCTCTCTTTCTCCCTTCCCCTCTTTCTAAAATCAGTAAGTATATCCTCAGGTGAGAATTTAAAAAATGTCTCCACAAAACTCTCTCTCATATTGTGAAGGTAACAAATCTGGGACATGCAGATATATGCCTGCATCTACAGGAAGAAATGCTATCTTTGGGGAATAATTATGAGGACAGCTGGATGTCTGGTACCCACTGCAGAATTCCTGGTACATCCCTTAATCTTCCAGAGACCGATGTTTTCCTACGTAAAGTGGTAAAAGTATTTCCAGTTCTGCCTACTTCATTATTCAAAAAAAACAAAAAACAAAAAACAACTTGTTGAATCATGGACTAAATTCTGTGCTAGACTCTAGTCTATGGTATCCAAATAAATAATTTATGTGAAAAATAGAAATTGTTAAAGAAAAAAAAAGAGCAGGCAATCCCAGACTTCTGGCACCACTGCTTACTGTTTGACCTTAGGAAGTCTGGGTCCTCCTTTATAAAGTCAGGATAATTAAGATTGGTTGCCATGGCATATAAATGCCTGGAATGAAACAGGTAATAATAAATGTGTTAATTCTTTGCCTCTTTGCCTATCCTTCCACCCCTCAGCTAATTTGTTTTTCTTCATTTTGGTCAGCAGAGAGCAAAAATTATTTAATAAAGAATAAACTTCTTACCCACTGACATGTAGTTGACTTATAAAAAAGTTATAACTTTATCCTTCAGTCCTAAAGCCTGGATAATGCTCTCTCTACAGCATTTATTTAACAGTGTTTGATACAGCCCTAATTATTTTATGTGAGATTTTTATCTGTATTTTTCTTAGTCTGTAAAAAAAAATGTAAGGAAGGAATTGTGCATTACATTTTTCTTTTAGTGTTGAATACGATGTTCCTTCATCCAAAAGTTAAGTAATAGTAACAATAAGAGAACTTTACATTTATATAGATAAGAGTCCTGTGCAGTTTTGTTAATTGTTCCTCACTTGATAAATGACCCTCGACATACTCCCTCCAGTGCATGTTTATTTAAGACTAAAATAATCCTGTGCTGAAATATGATTACGCTTTGGATACGCTCTGGTTGTTCATTGCCTTCCTGTCTTTAATAAAATGCTTTCACTTTCCTGCTCTCCAATAAGTTACTAAAGGGAGCAGACACTTTTCTGGACAGTCTCTGTTTGATAAATGATCATGTCATGCTATCACTTAGAGGAGTGCTGCAAAGTCCTGGGGAGCCAATTGTGTTTCCCATGCAGGGCTGGTGCGGCGCTCCTGTATGGGTGCCTGCAGCACTGCCAAATGCTCCCTCTACAATTAATGATGACCACTGATGAACCTGTATTTGACCAGTATGCTCCAATCTTTATCGGAAATGTCTGGTCCAACTGTCCTAACTAAATCTAAAGACAGCCATTTGTCATCCCTCTGACTGCCTGTCATCATCTGCCTGAGAAAATCTATAATTTTTGGCTTGTTTCTGACTAAACTGTGGAGTGAATAAATTTATCTTCGGGTTACTCTGCTTGTCAGGATCAATATTGAGCAGAGGTTGAATAAATTAGAAACTGGAAAAACATGACAGGCCATAGTGGTTTGTTCATCTGTGTCTTATAAATCAAACATTTAGTTTATATAAGAGGCAAACATGTCAAGTTTTTTATTTCCACCATTCATTCTGAAGATGCTTTACCTCATGATAAATGGTCATCAGAAAACCAATGAAGTAAATCACTGATATATCTGACTGTGAGATCAACTTTCTCAGATCATTTTATATATTTAGCAAAATTTGCAGACATAAAAACTATAGGTATAAATTTAAAGTTTTTCTTTCATGTTTTTACATATTTTTATACCCATATTTATTTGACTTAATGTCAGCAAGCTATGTAATGTTGGCCCTATTAAAGTTCATGGCTCATCCAACTACTTGGAGATAGGCAAAGTTTTATTTTAAATGGTCATTAAAGTATTTAATATTTTAGTACATCGAAGCATATCTTTTAAAAGAAACTACAGAGAAAGTGCAAAGACATTTTAACCAAATTAAATGTCATTTAAATGAGAGCACTGTGCGTTAAAGAAAGGAGTTTCTAAATTATGGTGTATTGTTGGGCCTAACCTCTCTTTCTCCTTCTCCTCAGAATTTGACTTTGCCATCAATTTTATTGGGGAGAACTGGTTCATTCACCCAGAGTTTTCTCATTTATCTACCTTTGATCTCACACTTCTCTTTCTTTCCTCTTTCCCATTTTTCTCAATCAAGAAGGAGCCCTACCTCTTTTCCCAAAGTAATTGGTTCTCTCCATCCTTTGTCCTCTTCCACAGGCCTCCTGCTCTTGGATCTTCTTTCTCTCGCATTTCCATTTCTAATTTCACCCTTTCCTCTGGGTTTCTTACCTACTATCACTATACTTCTTGAAAGAGTAGTCCATATCAGTGCTTCTCAAACTTTATGTGCTTAAGAAATCACCTAGGGATCTTCTTTAAATACAGTTTCTAATTTTTTATGTCAGGGGGAGAAGCTGAGATTCTGCATTTCTGAGGCTGATGCTCTGATCCTAGGAGCACATTTGGAGTTATAACAGTCCAGGTCACTGCCTCTGCTTTCTTAGTCATTTGGTACTCCTGCAGCCTGGGGCTTCTGAACAGGCACTTCTAACCTTATCACATCGCCAGTCTCAGACTTTCTCAGTCTTA